ACATCGACCGGCTGCCACCCTCACGACCCCAACCAGGGCCAAGAACCGCAACTTAGCGGGAACCGAACCCGGGCCTCTCTGGGCCACAGGCTGACGCTCTAACCGCTAAGCCAAATTGGCCAGGTCATTCCATCCAGTATCAACCCTAAAGTCCAAAGTCTCATCTAAATATCACCTACATGAGATATGGGTGAGGCTCAAACTATATTTCATCTTGAGGCAAAACTCCTCTCTAGCTGTGAACCTGCGAAACCAGACAAGTTATGTGCTTTCAAAATACAATGGGGGACAGGTATTGGATAGACATTCCCATAACAAAAGGGAGAAATTGGAAGAAAGGAGTGACAGGGACACAAGGAGTCTAAAACATAGCAATACACATTCCTTTAGATCTTAAGGCTCAAGAATAATCCTTTTTGGCTCAATGTCCCCACCTTTCAGGCCCCATGGGGTGACAGCATCACCCCCATGGCTCCCAGAGGATGCCTAAAACTTGCTGAAACTGAGGTGGTAACCATGATGACCTCTGAATCGCCTTTGGGGCCATTTCTCCCTCTTTCTGAAGAACAATGCAAGTTCACAGCCACATGGCTCCATCATCCCATTCTGCCAAATCTAAGAAGTCAACAACCTTCCTTCACTTTGCCCCATTTCCCTCTCCTTCAGTTCAAACGGGCAGTGCTTCTGCTCATCGAATCCCATAAATGTGATATCAAGTGGTTGTTCAGCCACACCCTCAGTGTTCTTTTCAGAAGACGCTTTCTCATATTTTGCAATACAGATAGGCTGAGAATTTTCCGGTCTTCAGATTATGGTTCCTTTTTGCTTAACAATTAATTCCTTCTTCAATTCCTTTCTCCTTTTGCAGTCAGGAGGAACCAAGCTGCTCCATGAATACTTTGCTTAGAAGTCTCCTCAGCTAATATCTAATTTCATTGCTCACAATTCTTCCTTCCACAAAATGCTGCAACACAGTTCAGCCAAGGCCCTTGTCATTTTAACAAGGACTGCCTTTCCTACAGTTTCCAATGACATGGTCCTCATTTCCATCACACACCTCACCAGAACCGCCCTTAATGTCTTTATTTCTAGCATGTACCTCAAACCTCTCCCATCCTCTACCCATTACCCAGTTACAAAGCTGCTTCCACATGTTTAGGTGTTTTTCACAGCAGCACTCCTCTCCTGATACCAAAATCTGTCTTAGCTTGGGCTGCCATAACGAAATACCATAGAGTGGGTTGCTTAAACAGAAATGTATTTTCTCACAGTTCTAGAGACTAGAAGTCCAAGATAAAGGGGCCAGCATGGTTGGCTTCCACTGACAGCTTTCCTTCTGGCCACCTGCTCACTGTGTCTTCACGTGATGTGAGGGAGGGGAGGGGAAGGAGTGGGAAGGAACAGATAGCAAGTTGTCTGGTGTCTTTTCTTATAAGGTCACCAATCCCATCACAAGGGACCTACTCTCTGACCTCATCGAAACCTAATTATCTCCAAAAGGCCCCATCTCCAACCATCACATTGGAGGTTGGGGCTTTAACATAGATTGGGGGGGGGGGGGCACAATTCAGTCCACAGCACAGCAGCTCAGATAGCCGGGGAGCAGAATATACCTAATTTCCCCAGAAGGTTGAGGGCAGAAGAGAAGAAATTAAAGAAGATTCTTCAAATTGGTGTGATATATCAAAGGAATGCAAATTTCAGCAAGAGATTTTTCTGCTGGGGATCCTGATGACCACTTCATAGCACAAGTTCAAGATGTGGCTATATACCACTTCAAAATCTTTGAAGATATGAAAAAATGAACACAACTTTTGTAAAAAACATTATGAGAAAGACTCAGGACTCTTCAGAGAACTTCAAAGAGAGTTTAGAAAAACTGATCCAGGCTAAACTTCACTCATTCTTTGAAACAGAACTCTGCGACTGTGTCCAAATAACACTGAAACAAAGGTCCATCCGTTGGGGCCAGGCGTTGGGTTACACTGGGGAAAGATGAGTGTGAAATGGAAAATGGCAAGGCCAAGAAGACTCAACTACATGCAAGGCACTCTTTTTAATTCTAGACTTAATGTTTAACGGGTTTAGAATTCATTAAAATAGCCAGAGATTCCAGTATTTTGATTTCAATATACACAGTGAGGTCACTGATGTAAAGAGGACAAGATGAGGAGGGTAGGTTTCATGAAGGGCCTTTCCAATAATAACTTCTGCAAAAATGTAGCAGCGGTTTCTGGAGTCCTGTGTCTAGATGAGGATGTCGGCCCTGTTCTTACATGACCAACGGGAAAGATGCCCAGCAGTGCCAGCTTCAAAAGCCCAGAAAGGAGAAATGAAATGATCAAGCTGATGTCATCAATTCAAATGAATTCAGAGAGGCCACCTAGGGTTGTGTTTTTAGGGGAGAGTAATAAACAAAAGCTTTGGGGAGAAAATGGTAACAAACAAATCACCATCACCAGATAGTGTTGTAGGAAAGGAATTAAGTGTCCAGTAAGTAAGCAGAAGGGAGAGAGACAGCGCCAGTTGAGGAAAAGGATACCAGATTTATTTGAGTTCCTCAAAAAAGGAAAAAATGAGAAATAGATCAGTTCAGGAAATTAAAGGAAGATACAAGAAGAAAACAAACCATTGAGAAAGCAACAAGAAATAGAAAATCAATACTAGTTGGCACTGAAAAAGATCTTTATAATTGAAAAAGTTCTTGTCAGTTTATTTAGTCACCTGCACAGTGCCTGGCATGTAACACATACATACAAAATTCATGGAGTGAAAGAATGTTACCAAGCCTTGTAGGGCTTCAGAGTTAGTTACCTTCAAGATGTACCTTTGTGGTATGCAGTTTTGATCTATGGGCAATTTTACCTGTGTCTACCGCTCTCTTGACTCCCTGAAGAACTTGAATTAGGGTCCTTGCCCATAATGGGAGATCATCACAGATAACCTCTTTTGAGCTGCCTGCAGGGCAAGACAAACTTCTATTTGCTAAACATCTGCTTTTCTTATCATCCTGCAATGACTCTTTGAAGCTAAGTGACCATATCTCATCCCTAGCTCAGAATGTCTTTTTTTTTTTTAAATCTTCACAGAGGATATGTTTTTCATCAATTTTTAGAGAGAGAGACATATTGATGTGAGAGAGAAACATCAATCGGTTGCCTCCTGTACAACCGGGATCACACCTGAAACCTGGGTATGTGCCCTGACCAGGAATCAAACCTGCAACCCTTTGGTGCACGGGACAATGCTCTAACCAGTGAGCCACACTGGCCAGGGCAGAATGTCTATATACTCTTTTCTTTTCTGTCTCTGAACTTCCTGTGCAGGTGGGGTTCTCATACACATATATTAAATTTGGTTATTTTCTCTTGCTAATCTGCCTCATGACTATTTGATTATTAGATCATCCAAAAGTGCCTTGAAGACAGAGGGAAATTTCTTCCTCCCACAGTCCACACAACCCTGGGACTGAGGAGTACAGAACCTAAGATTAATACAATAAGATATAATAAAATATATAGTAAAATATAAAATACACATATACTATATATAAAAAGAATAAAATCTAGAGTGTAGGAGTGATAATCTAGCTACAATTTAGAACAAGGACAACTTTTAGATTTGGTAAACTCTTGAAATCATATGAAAATTCTGCTTACCTTTTTCTATTGAGAGGGTTCAAAGCTTTTATAAGAATTTAAATGTGAGTTTATGAGCAACTGATATATTATTAGGTTAATTATTAATTTGTGTTAAGAAAGAATTAGTGGGAATGTGATACAGAAGATACATTCTACAGTTAGCTTTAAGAAGCTCAAAGGAAAATGAGTGCAAAACCACTCAGACGAGTTTTATATCTAGGTTATAGTTTTATGTGTATTTACATACTACCTGAATTGTTATCTTTTGGACATATCTGATTACATAAGACCTCAAAGATTTCGTCTAACACTGTTACTTTGTTATTTTGCTTATATTGTACTCCCTCCACAAGCAATTTTTAGATTCATTATCTCATTCATGTTCCTAATGTCGCCTAGCAAATTATGAATACACCAAAACCAAAGGCACTTACCCATTTTAGGTTTCTTAATAAATAGTAAAGACATTTTCATACTGAACATATTGACTAATGGTAATCTTTTAAAGTAGAGAGTCTGCAAAACACTCTTTCAAAGAGTTACACATTCTAATGGTAAGAACCAGACAGGCATACATCCTACAAACTGTACGAATAAAGCCTGTAAAAGATTCCAACCTGAAACTCCCTAAGTGAAATTCACAAGAAACAGAAACTGAGCCGCTGAAAACTGGCTTGTGACCACCCACTGAAGCTCCAGCTGTCTGATGTTGAATTTTAAAACATGACCACTTTCCTATAATTATGAAAACCAACTTGTGAACACATATTTGTTACTTCTCTCCCCTTTAAAGTAGGCAGAGAACTAGAAACCACTAAAGGCATTATACTTTCGTGTGTCCTTTTAAAAGCGATTTTAAATTATTACTATTTCCAAAACCTCCCACCACAACGGAATCAAAGGAGCCCTAAAGCGAGGAAGGAACTACAGACGAAGAAGGAAAAATAACCTAGGAGAGCAAGTAAACTAAAGCGCAGTCCTTGAACGGCTGACCTTTCTTAGACCGTGTACATTTTTTTTCCTTTAAGAAAGGATAGACGATAAATCTCAAAGGTTAATTAAAAATGCCCAGAAAACTAGCTAGAGAAGCACGAAGGTCAAGGTGGCAAGCGGGGCTCCGCGGAGAGCTTTCTTGGGGTTAGGTACTTCGGGAGCTTCCAAGGACAAGGGTGTGGGGGGTGGAGGGAAAAAAGGTGAGAAAGAGGCTGGAAGGAAGGGAGTGATGGGAAGGGGAGGAGAAAGATAGGGCAAAACAGGGGCAGGCCGCGGAGGCGCGGGCAGGGAGTCAGGCGGCGTGGGGGAGGGAGCCCGAGCCCCGGCCCCCGCCCCGCCCCGGGGAGGCCCGCCCGCCCCCCTTACCAGCGGGAGCAGGAAGCCCCAGAGCAGGGCGGCGGCGGCGGCGGCGGCGGCGGCGGCGGCGGAGGGCGGCGGCCCCATCGGGCTGCTGGACGCCCGGCGGCGCGGTGGGCCGCTGCTCGGCGGCGGCAGGCTCGGGGTCCCGCCGCGGCGCTGCCTCGGTGGCCGAGCCGGACAGCGGTGGGTGGCGGGGCTTGGCCGGTGCCGCCGCTGTTGCAGGGGCGGCCACTGCAGCACCGACTTCCTTTTCCGGCCACGCCCGGAGGACGCGGAAACCCCCGCACGGAGCACGTGGAGTCCCGAGCCCGCGCGCCCTGCCAGCGGCTCTCTGTGCGTCCTGGCGCCCGCAGGCCACCGGCGGCGGGGCTGGGCGTGTCCCTTTCCAGATGCCTGACCTGAATTCCCCCCTCGTCCGGGAATGCAGTGGACTTTTTCAAGACCCTCCTCCTCCTAGAAGTTGTCTGGCGCTACTGTGTGTTCCAGTAACTATCCAGGAGCCCCGAGCCTAGATCTACCGGCTCACCAGCGGGTCCTGGCCACTGTCACATATAGTCCAAGTCCATGCACATTCTCCAAAACCGCTGCGACCACCCTCTCCAGGCCACGACACCTGTCTCCTCCCAATTGGTCTCTGTGTTTCCACTCCTGACATCCCATTACTACGTAGCGGTCCTAGAGAACTCTTTTTAAAAGCATAAATCAGCGCATGTCACTCCTCATCACACTTGGAACAAAATTAAGATTCTGGTCTGGCCTACAACGTTTACATAATGTGGTCCCTGCCTTCTCTGACCCCATCTTCACTACTTTCCCACGTTTGCCACTGGGATGCCTGTGGTTCTTTGGCCTGTGCACTGGTTGCCCTCCCTGTGGAATGCCCTTGTCTCTGAGTACCTGGTGCACTGGCATTCACTTGTCAGCTGTTGTCCCTTCCCCGGAGGGAACTTCCTGACATACCCAGTCTACCGTAGCCACCCACTCACTTGCTGACATACCCAGTCTACGGTAGCCACCCACTCACTTGCGTATCATACGATTTAATTCTCTACATAGTATTTTTACTCTCATATTCACTTGCTTATTTATCTGTTCATTTACTATGTCACCTCCTAGTGGATAGCAAGGAGTACCTTTGCATTCTTCAGTACTATGTCCCTTACACCTACAACACTGGGCAGAAAGTAGGTGTTTAAATATTTGTTGGATGAATATTCCATACCAAGCACTGAATATGATGCTCTCCCTGCCATCCCACAGCTCAGTTCAGTGAGGGACACAGATGTGTGAACAAACATAGTTCAGGGTGAATAGTGACTCTCTTGTTTGCACAAGATGCTTTGGGAGTATCAGAAGGACATATAAAAGGGATGCCAGGAAAAATTCCAACTTAAGCTGAGTCTAGAAGCGTGAGTTAATTTTAGCCAGGCCTGGGCAGGGGAAAGGGGAGACTTCCAGGAAGAGTGAACTGTTAGTGTTAAAGCCGAAGGTGACAGTGGAGGAACTGCAAAACTTGGACTTGGCTGAAGTTATGAGCGGTGAAAGATGAAGTGAGGGAAGAAAGCAGAGACCAAATCAGAAATAGATTGGACAGTTTGCTTGTGACTTTTGACTTCACTCAGTTGGTGGTGGAGAGTAAATGAATAAGTAGAGCATGACAATTTCAGTTTTAGAAAGCTCTCTGGGGTGGCAGGTGAGGTGGCAGATGTTTTGAAACTGGGCAAACTAGAAGGAAGTCAGGAAACCTGTTACATAACTGTAGTGACCTAACCCAGGCCAAGGATTGTGAGGGCCTGAACTGAGACAGTGGCAGAAGAAATGGGGAAGAGGGGATGGATCAGAAAGATTTGTAGCAGAATTTCAGAAATGAGAGGACATGGAGATGGATGGAGGGGAGGAGGGATGAGTCCCAGAATCCTGCCCTAAACCTTTTATTGAGATGATCACCACAGGAGATGGAGGTGGTAGTGGAATGGGTGGGGGAGAGAAAATACTTTTGGACGTGAATTTGAGATGCTTATGGGACATCCAAATGTAAATGCCTGTAGGTTGCTGGCCAAGTGGATTGGTCCAAAGCTTACTGGCACAATGAGGCCAGAACTCAGGTCTCCTGCCTGTCACTTTCTAGCTGCCTAGGGCAAGCCAGGTTCTCCTTTTGTGAAATGGCTAAATGACTTCATCTCTAAATATTTCCTTCTGCCCGCGGTGGCCCTTCGCCTGGTGAATCTCCAAGGTGGCTCCTGAGGCTGTCTGAAATCTGTTTTTCCTTTCTACATTTATGCACATTTTTTTCTTCCCCTCAGTTGGAGAACATTTTGTACCTGTAGCCAAAGAACCTGTGTTATACACTAGTTCCTTGTGTGATTTAATTGCCTACTTTAGTTTTCTCAGCTGAAAAATGTGGACAGCAATACCAGTTCTGCCTGTCTTACATAATTATTGTAAAAATGACCTAATCTATAGTTTGGGTAAAATTATCCTGAAAAAAAGAAAAATTAAAGGAGGAGGAGGGGAATAAAAGGAAAAGGAGAAAAGCAAAAATAGAAGGCTGTGTTATTGCTGTAGTCCAAAGTGTCAGCACTATTGGTCATAATTCTCCTGCCAGAATGGTTTCTCCTTGGTCAAAGTCCCTGTGCAGGATGAAGTGAAGGAAAATAGGAGAGTTAATGGAAGAGTAAAAGATTCTTGATTAATGACTTTACTAATGGAACAGCTGTTGAAGTTTATTTGGAGTATATCTCTGTTGTGCTTGAATTTTTCTGCAAGTATTAGGCAAGATAAAGGGTACCTGGATAATTTTTAGTCGATATTTTTCTTCTCCAAATAAACTACATATGAAATCCAATTTTGGGAAAGAAGTATCATTAGATTAAAGATTGTTTTCATTTCTGAATATATTTAGTTAATATTTTTTACCAGTGTTAAAATATAGAATGTTATTGGTTGTCAGAACCTTTGTATATTGTAGGAAGTGGCCGGGAAATGCTGGCTTCATTTTACAAAGGAGAAAATTGCTAGGTTGACAGCAGAAGAGGAGAAGCTTAAACCCAAGCCCCTGCCCCAGCACACTAGATCATTTGTACTGTGTGTGCTGGTACTGCACGGTGGTTTTCACTCCCAGGACACTGATAAAGTGTTGGTAATGAGCCCCAGGGACTTTCTTGGGCACTCCAGGGAATTACTTTAGTATAGAGCAGTGATTCTCCATCTTGACTATTTATGAGGATTACATAGAAGAACTTTAAAGGATACCGATGCCTGATTCCCACTATTTCACTTTTCCTTGTGCAGATCCTAAAGTTAATTGATCTGGTTGTAGCCTGTGTTTTACAGTTTTTATAGCTCCTCAGGTCATTCTAATATGCAACCAAGATTGAGAAACTGGCTTAGTCAGTTATTCTTTTTTTTGGTTAATCCTCACCCAAGGATATTCTTTCCAATGATTTTTAGAGAGTGGAAGGGAGGGAGGGAGTGGGAGACAGAGAGAGAGAGAGAGAGAGAGAGAGAGAGAGAGAGAGAGAGAAGAGAGAAACATAGATTTCAGAGAGACATGTTAATTGGTTTCCTCCTGAACACACCCCAATCAGGCATGTGCCCTTGATGGGGAATCGAATCTTTGACCCTTTGGTGCAAGGGCTGGTACTCTAACCACTGAGCAACAACCGCCAGGGCAGTGGTTCTTTTTTTTTATCCTCACCGGAGGATATTTTCCCATTTATCTTCAGATAGAGCAGGAGGGAGAGAGACACATTGATTGGTTATCACCTGCATGACCCCAACCAGGACTGGGGATGAACTGCAACCAAGGTACGTGCCCTCGGCCAGAATCAAACCTGGGACTCTTTGGTTGGCGGGCCGACGCTCTAACCGCTGAGCCAAACCGGCCAGGGCACAGTGATTCTTTTTTAAATATTTTTTATTTTCCAATTGATATTATATTAGTTTCAGATGTACAACATAATAATTAGACACTTATATAACTTATGGAGTGATTACTCCAATAAGTCTAGTACCCACCTGACACCATACATAATTATTACAACATTACTGACTATATCCCCTATGCTGTACATCCTTATGACTTTACATCCATATGACTGTTTTTATAACTGACAATTTGTATCTCTTAATCCCTCTCCTTTTTTCATCCATCTTCTCCCACCCCCTTTCCATCTGGGAACCATCAACTTGTTCTCTGAACCTATGAGTTTGTTTCTGTTTTGTTTGTTTGTTTTGTTTTTTAGATTTCATATATAAATGAAGTCATATGGTATTTGTCTTTCTAGTTAATGATCTTAAAACGTGGTTTCTGGACCATGCAGTATCAATATCACCTGGGAACTATGAGAAGTGCAAATTCCTCCAGACCTCCTGAATTAGAAACTCTGGGAATAGGGCCCAGTAATCTGGGTTTTAATAAGCACCCTAAGAAATTCTGATGCATGTTAAAGTTTGAGAATTGTTGGTTTAGAGCAACATTCCTTAACTCTGGCTGCATATTAGAATCATCTGCGAAGTTAAAATAAAAAACAAACCCTATGCTCTAATATTAATCAAACTGAAAGGACAAATAGACAAATCCATAATTATAGTTAAAGATTTCATCACTTCTCTCTCAATAATTGAAAGAACAAATTAAATTAGTGAGGATACAGAAGACTTGATCAGCCATCAACCAACTTCACCTATCTCATTCATGGGACACTCCACCCACCAACTGCGAAATACACATTATCTTTATGTGTGCACAGGAATTAAGAATATATTTTGAATTAAAGGAAAACACAAATGTGACATATCAAATGTTGTGAGATGCAATTAAAGCTTTTTTTATTTTTTTTAAATCCTCACCCGAGGACATTTTTCAATATTTTGTTGAGATAGAGTGGGATAAAGAGAGAGAGAGAGAAACATCGACGTGAAAGGGACACATCGAGTGGCTGCCACCCACACGACCCAACCAGGGCTGGGGACAAACTGCAACCGAGTTACATGCCCTTAGTGGGAACCAAACCCGGGTCTCTCCGGATCGCAGGCCGATGATTTAACCGCTGTGCCAAACCAGCCAGGGCTAAAGCTTTTTTAAAAAAGTGCCTGTGGCCCTGACCAGTTTGGTTCAGCGGTTAGAGCATCGGCCTCTGGTCCAGAGAGACCTGGGTTTGGTTACTGCTAGGGGCACAAACTCGGTTGCAGTTTGTCCCCGGCCCTGGTTGGGTTGTGCAGGTGGCAGCTACTAGATGTGTCCCTTTCACGTTGATGTTTCTCTCTCTCTCTCTCCCTCCCACTCTATCTGAACAAAATATATATTTAAAAAATTGTCCTCAGGTGAGGATTAAAAAAAAAGAAAAGAAAGAAAGAAAATAGAATAAAGTGCTTAAAAAATTGTAGCACTTATAATAGAAAGGTATAAACATTTAAAAATCAATGACCTAGGCTTCTACCTTAAGAAACCA